TTGTGACACCAGATGTAATTGGTGGCACTGACTGGGGAAATGGGCACTGTGAGCCTGACACAGAAGCTGGCAGCAGTGGCAGACAACTAAGTGCATTTACATTACATAGAAAAAAAAATAAAAAAAAAGCATACCCTTATCCCTAACCTAGCTATGCTTTTCCCTATCTTATGAACAGCAGCTACACTTTCCCTCCTCTTACTAAGCATGCAGCTTGAGAATGAATCTAAAATGGATGCTGTCCAGTAGGTGGGAGGGTCTGCTAGGGAGGCTGTGCTGCTAATTGGCTGGAATGTGTCTGCTGACTGTGAGGTACAGGGTCAAAGTTTACTCAATGATGACGAATAGGGGGCGGGTCGAACCGCGCATATGTTCGCACGCCGTGGCGAACGCGAACATGCTATGTTCGCCAGGAACCGTTCGCCGGCGAACCGTTCGGTACATCACTACCTGTCACTATGCATTACTGCAAGCATGTCAAACTCAAAGGCTAACACAGGCCAAGTAAATAAGGTTTAAGTTAATGTGGGCCACAAAAAAACAAAAACATAAGTTTTCCTAGAAACGTATAACAGTATAAAAAAGTTGCCTAACTGACACTGGACATCCTCACGCTTGCAGGGCTTTAAAATAAACAAAAAGGCAAATTTATTTTAAGGAGACGTGCATTTGCATATAACTGATGTTTTAGTCCAACTACCTTGACATATTAAATGTTTGGTAATAGGACTGAAATGATGAATGTATGCTGTTGCACAGCTGTAAAAAACAAATGACATTATCTTGTTGATTTTGAAGTCCAATGAGTGTGTTCTTCACTTTGTTTGAGATTATCAAACTTGATGATCTCAGCCAATTCAATGCTTTCCCACAGGAAAGCATTGGGAAGCTATTGTGTATGTGTGGCAAAAAGCTGTGCGGCCAATTAGCATTTCCATGGGGAGTGTTCAGTGTCTACATGCAGACCCAATGTAACACACTGCCTACTCCCAGTCAAATACACTGCCGACAAATCCAATAGATTGCCCACAAATCTAAAACTGCCGCCCTTCCCTCAAATGTAATACACTGTCCCCTTCACCCAATCTAATACACTGCCCCTCCCTCCACCTATTTGAATACACTGTCCTCCCTCTCCCATATTTAATACACTGCCCCCTATATAATATACTACCACCTACCTCCCCAATTTAATACACTACCCCATCCCCCCAATCCTCCACAATTTAATAAGCTGTCACCCTCCCACCACTCTAACAGACTCCCCCCCAATTTAACACACTGCCCCACTCTAATACACTGCCCACTATCAACACTCTAATACACTGCCCACCTCACTCCCTAATTTAATACACTGCCAACTCCCCAATTTAATACACTGGCCCCCTCCCTTCCTCAAATGAATAAACCACCCACTCCTTCCCTCAATAGCAGGAGGGAAGGAGGAGTGGCTGGCCTGCTCTGCAGACAGACAGCCACTCTGCCCTCTTGCGCCCATGGAAGGGAAGACAAGAATCATACAGGAAATATCTTGGTTACCCGCCTGCTGCCTTTAGACTATGGCCCCATTTTAAAATGCTTGATTTTCCCCTGCAAAGACACGAAAGCTGGGTCATTCGGTCTTCCAAGAGGCTGGAAGTATGTATGGGAGAGGAGCTTGCTACCCCTTCTCCCCAGCGGCAGTGTGATCTATAGGGAATTGAGAGCCCAGTCTCCTTTCCCCAGCGGCAGGCTGAGTTACAGGGGGCAGAGACAGTTGGTCCTGTCTCCCAGCAGCAGCGTGTGTTACAGGAATTGGGAGCACAGTCTCCATTGCCCAGCAGCAGAGTGTCCTACAGGGAATAGTTTCCTTTCCCCAGCAGGACTCTGTATTGGGAGCGG